TGGCTAGTAGTGAAGTCAGCCGTAGGAGCACTGCTCAGTACCTGTCCAATTACTTTGAAACTTATAGGTAGGACTTGACAAAAAGCTGCGGTTAGAACTTTTGCGTTAAAACATAACGTGGTGAAGAGTTAATAGGATATTTAATAAAGATAAACATAGGTCTAAAGGGTACCTAGGCTGTTGGAAAAGCTCGAAGCTCGATACATAACCCTCTTAGTTGAGGTATCCGCATGCACTAGCTGAATCCAGGAGAGTAACCTAGAACCAAGTGACGCTATAGTCAGACTGATTCATCCGGCGTGAGTAATAGCCTAGGAACTTCCATGTGTATAAAAGAGTGAACTTAAACCCTTAAAAAATGGCAGATGATGTTAGAACACAGTTTAATGACTCAGAGCCAGCAACAGATGTGGAGGGATACACAGAAGCTAGATCCGGACCTTCTGCCCCCCCTGGTCAGCTTAGCCCAGACCCACGGGCGTACCGCGACCTAAATACGTTCCTGTTAGACTACCGTTTAGACAGATGCCATTTATGAATATCCCATCTAATACTCCTAGAAGAAAACACATTGTTAGACATGATATTCAGGGAAAAGGAATGTTTGAAATAATAATGGCAGATATTGAAAATCTTAAACTGGATCAACCAATCATGTTAGTGAACCCTGCTAATAGGGAGCTAAAACATGCAGGAGGAATAGCAGTAGCTCTGGCAAAGAGAATAGTCCTATCATGCAAGCACAGAGTGATAATATGATAAGGACTATTAAACTGTCAGAAGGCAATGTGGTGATCAGATGACCCACAAATACCTGTCGTTTTGCATGTACCATTTAAACCTATGTGGGAACTAACAGCAGATATCAAACCCCAACACTATCTTGAAAACCAATATGAGGAAGTTTTTTGCAAAGCTAAACTACTTTACCAAAATCAACTAAACTATTTGCTCTCGACCCCTTTTTGGAAATGGGATTTTCCGTTACACAACAGAAGACTCAATTCAGGCCTTAAAGAACGCTTTACAAACAAGTCAGGGAGAGTTAAATGTGGTGCTATGTTGCTCATAAGGGAACTTACACTTTTGGAAAATATCTCCCCCTTTCTCTGCTCCTGAGGTGCTGCAGACAGACGCAACACACAGGGCCAGAGACAGGCATGACCTCTGGAGAGGAAGAAAATCTAAATCTGAACAGACCACAGAGCGACCCATTAAAAGGTTTTATGGCCTCAACACAGAGAGGAAGATCTGGAGATTGTAAGGAACTCTTCCAAACTAGGCTACCCCCACCCCATCATAAGGGGAAGAGTTTTGCTCACACCAATAAACAAATCAACTCTTAACTAAGTCAGATTTCAAATAGACATAGCTTCAGTTGTTAAGAAAAGAGGGAAATTCAAAAAGTTATCCTTTTTTTACAAAGGGAAACAATGAAACCCTTACAAAAAACCGCTGCTCCCAAAATTAACTCTGTTTACAGACGGGAGTCTGCGAAAAGGTGACCAAGCAGCTACTTGGGCTTTTATAATGAAAACTAATTCAGGAGAATTACTTTGCAAAGAAAAATGTGTGATTCCGGGTACAGCACAGTTGAGGGTCTTCTTTTTGCTAAAAAACGTGAAATAATAACACACATCCGTATTGTTACTGATAGTGATTATTGTTACAAAGCAGGTAAAGAAGAGCTTAAGTATTGGGATCAAAGGCAGTTTACCAATGTGAAAGGTGAAGCGCTGACACATGCCCATCAATGGAGTCTTATTGCAGAGTTAAGAGTAGGCATGTACATGGAGTGGAATCATGTTCATAGCCACACAAGTAAGATAGATTTTGACTATCAAGGTAACTGAAGTTGAGGCACTTGCTCAAAGCAGGGGACGAGTTAACCACCTGACCATATTTCCTAGTATATGGAAAAGGGGTGGGAGCATTCATGTGCCTCCTGAAGAAGCTCCTCAGGTTGTGCTTGAATTACACAGTAGTTTGGGCCATGTGGGCCTAGTTCGGATGAGAAAATATTGTCTCAACAATAACATCCACATACCAAAACTGCGATTGCACTACAACACACACAGATCAACAAGTCATTAATGTGTATGAGGTAGATGGGTTCAAGAAAGTTCATCCTGAACATTATCATAAAATAACAGTTTTAGTGCTGACATAGCAGGTCCCTTTCCGACCCGCACTTCCAGTGGGAACAAGTATTTCCTTGTGATCTGTGATAATGGAGGGAGTCAGAAACATGTTTATCCTCTGACCAGAGCAACAGGGAACACAGTGTTTGCTAAAATGGCAGAACATATAAGTATAATTCTTAAACTGAAAGAATAAGAATGGATAATGCAACTCACTTTAAATTGAGAAAGTTTTGTCTTACAGGATAATGGGATCACACCTATCTGGTCGTTACCATTTACGTCTCAGGCGTTAGAGCAGCCAAAGAGTGGAGTATAAAAAACTGTAAAACAAATTGGGACATTCCAATCAATTTGACAAGGCTGAATATATTCCTATATATGGAAAAGCTACCTAGGGCAAAGGTCAGGTCATATCTAACTATCACACCTTTTCCGTTTAAGTTCAGAAATCGTGTATAGGTGACTAGAAAGGGGCGAAGTCCAGAAAGAGGTGAGCTTAAAACTAAATTAGAAGAAGCCAACTCCTGGACCCAGCAAACCTGTGCAGCATGGATCAGCGGCTGAGTCACCTGTACCTCTGCCAGCGGAGGATGAAGTTTCTTCTAGCTCTGTGGGACAGGCAACATCTCTACCCGCTAAGCCACTCAGATTGCAGTGGATTTCCCAAAAAGGACGACGACTACCTGACAACTGCATGGTCGACCGAGCTATCTGGCCTTTCATTTGGAGGTGTCATCCAGGGAGGAACCTCAACCCCTCCATGGTCAGGGTCAAGGATTTACAACAGATAGCAACATGGATTGAGGAGTCTACACTGGAACAACAGATGGGCCCCCCGCTCCTGCAAGTACCAGGCAGAGTGGGAGTACGCACACAAATCTACCATCATCATGATGGCCCATGGGCTCTTTTTACTCTGGTACCTGACCTATGTGATAACGAGAACATTCCAGTGAGGTACTATGTTTTCGGTGAACGCCAGTTTGGACTCAGCGGAGAAAATCCTTATTACACATACTGAAGAACTTTTCATGTTATTGATGCTTGATGGTTTTTACATATGTATGTATTTTTATAATTTTATCTGTTGCTGTTTTTGATAACTTTGCGTTTTAAAAAGAGGGTGTTGAGATCTCCATATTAGGTTGAATACTGAAAACTAAAGTTAATCAAATATAGTCAATTATATTCTTGTATAACCCAAAATGAAAATGCTTCATATTTTATGATTTTCTATATTTACAGTATAAACAAAGTGGTTGGTTAAGTTGAGTGTAAGGCCTATCATGGTTTATGGGTGTCACTGATAAGAGAGGAGAGACAGTTTCTTCCCTCTTCCCTCACAGGCAGTACACAGGGAGGGGGACTCCTGACTTAGTGAAAAAGAACTGAGGCCCCAAAAAGGTGTTTGTGCCATAGCCGAGAATAATATTTTGCAAGTCCTGCAGAGTAGGGGTCATGTCCTTTTTACACACACATGGGAAGGTGTGTCTTATGCCATAGCCATAGAATATGTCTGGTCATGTCCAGTCCTGTACATCAGAGGCCATGCCCAGTTTCCACAAATATGGGTATGGAGGAGGTGTCTTTAGGTTTTTCTATCCTGTTTTTGAGCATAAAGACTCCGGCGGAGAGGGAGCAAACTAGAGAGAGAGGGGGGGGGATGTTCCCCTAGTATACTCTCTCCCGGTAAAGCTCTCTCCCTGGAGAGCTGGGTTTTTGCCTCAGTAAGGTTCTCTCAAACTTGGTAAATATCTCTCAAATTTCTTTGTTGAATGCTGAGTGAATTTCTTTGTGAAATGAGTGGAATGAATTGATATTTATTGAAAGTTAGTACCCTGCCACCTGTGAGGAAAGGTCCTCCGAATTCATGCGGGACGAGTTGAAGAATACAAATGTGGAAATGAGCAAATTAACTGATTTGTTGAATGAAACTTTGAATGTGCTTTTTATTATCACCGGTCATTTATGAGGAAATGCCTCTAAATTATATCAGGAGATTTAAATATCACAACTGAATTGGGCAGTTGAAATGACAATTTAGTGTAATAAATGTAAAACTGTGAATTAGGGTTGCATATTAGAACATGACCACAGCATGATAGGTTTAGTATGATTATAATGTTGTAACGAAAGAAGGTAAAAACCCTGTATAAGTGTGGACCATTTTTCTTCAAATAAACTGATCCCACCTTTTGGATTGGGACAACTTAAAAGAAATCTGCGCTCTCCTCTCCTGCTTCAAAGGTAAGACTGCACCCTGCCACACTCACTCTTAGGTAGGGCCACACCTCATCACTGATATCAAAATCCTTTGGGATCGCTTAAACAGATTTAAGAGAGTTGTCTGAATTGAAACATCAGTTAATTGAACCTGGTTCTTCAGGAGTTAATAGAGGTGAGATCTTGCTGACGTTGGTGGATCTGAGCCAAGCAGTAAACTTACATAGACTCAATAACTTCTGTTAGGTCAATTAGTAGGTCTGAGTAATTTGCCGGAATAAATTATCAGCCCTCCCGACTCCTACAATATACATATTTTATACATATTTGTATATATAATTGTATATCTGTATTATTGTATTTTTATATTCGGGATTGTTGGAAATGTTATTTCGATCTCTCTGTCTGTACACACAAACTGAAAGATTGACATTAAAGTTGACTTTGATGTCTCTAACTGATTTGATGCTTTAACATAACCGCTTTAATTAAACAGATCCTCCAATTCCCCTTAATTTTAATTCCCTTGTTTTAATTTAACAAGAGTTTGTGAAACCAGGTTAGGCATTATAGAAGCAGCACAGACAGCTGTCTCTGTCTTTGAGCAGTAATTTGTCTAAATACAAATCTTACCTTAGAGGACAGGGCTTCAGCACTTTCTCTACATGTCCTCTCGATCTCCAGGTGCTCCTGAATGGCACCGACCTCTTCAATGACCATCTGAGAAACTATGAAAAAAAGAGAATTAACGACTAAGAAAAGATGTCAGCTATAAAACTTGTTCTTCAGATTTTTCATATCTTTTACACTTTTTGAGATATTTAACTTAGTTTGGAGCTTGCTTGGTAAATCAATCAATCAATCAATCAATCAATCAATCAATCAATCAATGTTTATTTATATAGCCCAATATCACAAATGTTACATTTGTCTCAGTGGACTTCACAGTTTGTACAGAATATCAGTATGACAATACGACACCCTCTGTCCTTAGACCCTCACATCGTACAAGGAAAAACTTCCAGAGAAGACCCACAGTTTAAAGGGGAACATGGGAGAAACCTCAGGGAGAGCAACAGAGGAGGGATCCCTCTCCCAGGACGGACAGACGTGCAATAGATGCCGTGTGTAAATCGAAGAGATAATACATTTGACAGCATATAGACCGAAATGCATGTGTCTATAATAAGAATATGAATTCACGAGGATGTCAACAATGCTGTGGGAGCCATCAGGGAAGTAGTATGATGAGAGTCAGGACCAGTCCTGCACGGGTCTGATTTTCAAGACCCGCTCCCGCCCCGCACCCGCGACGTGCAATAACGAACCCGCCCCGCTACCCGCACATATTGCCAATTAGTTCCGCAACCCGACCCGACCTGCCGGCACAAGATCCGCAACCCGACCCGAACCTGCCTATATATGAGCAGTGAAAACATGCAATTATTAACACACGCAGTTCCATATTTGTCTCACACCAAAAGCCTCCCAGACGTTGGATTTTGCTCTTGAGGAAGTGTTATTGAAAGTGCTGTATTCTCCGCTAGAGAGCTTCACCTCAGCCATTTCGAATGTGGCGCGCACAGCAGCAGATTGATGCGCTGCAGAGTTTATGATTATGCGCGGTCCCGCGGGGGAGAGGTCTGAGGATTTAAACACTAAACTAAATTATTATAATTTTAATATATATTATGCAACAAAAAGGCCACATTATTGACCCGGAAGTACATAAAAAGCAGACTCAGACGCTCGTCAGGGTCCTGAGACGTGTTGAAATTTCACCGATATCTACTACGGTTCTTCAACAAAACGTTCACATGTAAGAGGTTTATCTCTCATTCAGATAAATGGAAAGTCTCTCCTCTCACTGATTACTGCACATCACCATGGAAACCTTTGATCTCTGGGCTCAAGCACAGGTGTTTCATAATGTTGTTAGCTCAAACAAAAACATCTGTTTCATGGAACACGATGATGTCATAACTCCAACTGACATGCTCAGAACGCCACCAAACATCACATGATGGTTAACACTGTGGCCCTGAACAGCTCTACAAATCTGATGTTACATAATGTGGTGTTACCATGACAACGCATCCCTCGCCATAAAACACGATGTCGCTGTAACTCCAATTGACACGGTCCGATCATCCCCCAATCTTCACTTGTATATCACCGGTCCATGCCTCAACAGCTCTACGCCAAATCTGACATCTCACCAAATGCCGTTTTCATGGAAATGCATCGCCAAAAAACACGATGTTGTCGTAACGCCTATGAAAAGGGTCAAAAAGGCACCAGACTTCAGATAATGGTTAATGGTCCAGCCCTCAACATGTCTATGTGCCAATAGTGAGTTTTCCTCTAAAGCTATTGCCATGGCAACGCATCCATCGCCATAAAACACTATATTGCTAAAACTCCTATGAAAATGGTCAAAAAGTGCTCAAACTTCACGTGTGTGCTAACAGTCCAGCCGTGAAGACATCTACGTGACTGTTTTGAGATTTCTTCAACTGCCGTTGCCATGGCAACACAATGCTCACCATGAAACATGGTTTTCTCATAACTTCAGTGAAAATGCTCCAAACGGCCCAAAACTTCACAGCTTTGGTAACGATGCAGCCATCAACACATCTAAGCGTATTGTGGGGTTTCATCAAATGCCATGGCGACAGATCACTCGCCATCAAGTTAGTTAACAAGTTTGCAGTTAAAATATTCTGCTGCTTTTCCAAGCCTTTTTACTTTCTTTTCTCTTCTTAATACACATTCATTCACTACTACTTACATTTTATATCTAACTCCTTCAGCCTACTTTTAGCTACAGAAACCATTCAACTATTACATGTTCAGCTATTTCAGGACATTGAGGCTATACATTTTGTTGTTTATACCTTTTTTAAACATTTTCTTTTGAATATCAAGCTTCTTCACTCTTCTTCCTACTCTTCCAGATTAACATTTCACTTTCAAGTGTTCAACAACGTCATTGCAATGCATTTGAGCTGTAACCATTTTGATTCAAATCATTTCACTTTTCCTCATTTCTCCACTAAGTTCAGCAAAACACACTTACTTGGTTTATGTAGCTAAAAGCAGCTACAGAGACCATTCAACTAATAAAATATTCAGCTTTTTCTGCATGTTCAGCTAAATTCAGCCACAAATGTTCACAGTTTACAGCATTCGCACGCATTTTCAAATGCTACTCCTTCCACATACATTCAGCTAGAGACTTCATTCCAACTTTAAAATTATCACAAGACCTTCAGCTATAAAACTTGTTCTTCAGATTGTTCATATCTTAGTTTGGGGCTTGGTAAAGAGGCTTTCTTCAGATTTTAACATGAGTGTGTATTGCGCAGCTCATTAAGGCTTAGTGTGCGTGATGTCACACCTAGAGTGGAGGAGAGCTTGAAATTCGCCTTACATTTTTTTTTAAAACTGCTAATAATAATTCCCAAACCCTACACTCCTGAAACCCTCACTTTTCATGGCACTTCATATCAAAAAGGTTGCCGACCCCTGCTGTAAAGTATATCATAATGAATATAGTTTAGAGCAGTGGTTCTCAACTGGTGGGTCGCGACCATAGACTGTATATATAAATGGACGTAGTGTCCGTGACGTCACCCATAGGATTCTGCAGAGTTGCCGAGAATCCCTTAGTAGGCGGAGTCGGCCACTAACGGCTTGACAGCGACGTCAGAGTTCAACTCCTGATCCAATTAAGGGCAAAGAGGCGGAGCCGAGGCGGGACCTGCTGCCTCCGAACTGGAAGTAAACAGAGCTAGCTCAGGCTAAGAAGCTAAGCTAACATGAAATACATGCATACCAAGTTACTGCTAACAGTGTAGTTCCCCTATATAAACGTTACATTCATAATCAAATGAGACAATCTGCAAGAGAATTAGCTATATTTTGTTATTCTTAATGCTTGTCATTCACATGTTAAGAAATTAAGTACCGATACACAGCAGAACAATTGTGGTGATGTTCAGCTTAATAAGCCTTATTCAACATAATTTATTTAGCTAATACTACAGCAGGCGAACCAAGTCTGCGTTTCGCTGCATTCCTTGATCTCCAGTTATAACAACGGACTCCACCGCCCGGACCTAACGGAGCCGCAGTGGGCTAGCTCCGGGACGCCGGCTGGAGCTAGCCCCCTGCGGCTCCGTTAGCTCCGGCGTTCACCACTGGGATAATTGGGTCCCCTATTAACATTTGCTCCCGTTTAGCATTATGGGCGTCATAGCCATAGACTATAAAAGTCTTACCCAAGGCTGAATCATAAACTAAAATGTATATGTATGCATAAAGGGTTACGTCCTTAGCTGGCTAATAAGTAACAAGCTAAGCTACCAAGCACACAAACACCTGCGAACGGGGTTAACATGTATAATATTATCATTTTAGACTTCTTGGAAGTTCTGTTAGTACATTCAAGCGCACAGCACGACATTTTAATTGTCTGGTATTTGTAACAATATTCCCTAAAAGGCACAATCACCACAAACACGGCTAAAGCTAAAGGGTCAAGTACAGTACTATGACTAACTAACGTTGTAGCCTAGCAGAGTGGACAAGTTGCTGTTAGCTGACAGTGAGGCATGTACGTGTCCATCAAAGTGACCACGCCCTAATTTATGCAAAAACTTTAAGACCTAATATAAATAAGAGGGTCGTGTTAGAAAACAATGCACTCACAGATTCATAATCATGAAGGTGGAATCTAACTATATCGATAATAATATGTATTGCATCCATGGGTAGAAACAACATTTTCTGCTGTAAAGTTGGGCATTTTAACATGGGGGTCTATGGAAATTGCTCCTTTCTGCAGTCAGTCCCTAGCGGTCCATGTATGAACTGCAGTGTGTGGCACTTCCGTATTGGCGTCCCGGCTGTTCCCCAGAGTTTGCCGCTTGGTCGCGACCCACGGACCCGTTTCGAGTGGGTCGCAGATGTGTGAGTTTTTTTTTTTTTTTGGGGGAAAAAGTCAAACTTTTATTTTGAAGGCCCGATTTTCTAACGCTGTGCATGCAGTAGGCGTTGGACTGGAAGTACCTGAGACCATAAACGGTTTTGAAAATGTCTGTCACGTAGTGATCATCTTCTCAATAAAATATCTTTGCTGATGTTTCTTCGAGTCTTCTGGCCAATCAGAATCAAGATTGTTGCCGGAAGTCCCCACGGAGAATAACTTTGCGGTAGAACTACTCTTTATACATCCATGGGTACAATTTCAGATAAAAATGAACACATAATGAAATATGACCCCCGGTTTGATGATTGACAGGTCACAGAACAATGGGAGCTATCTACCCTTACCCATAATTGAAAGTAATTCATACAGACTATCTCCTCTTTGCTCTTCTCTCTGTGAGGACCAGCAAGTTCAGCTGTAAGAACTAAGTGAAAAACAAACAATGGCATAAATTATTAATATGTGGGGAAGTAATAGATTTATTTATTTTCATCTCAGAGTGTACCAGAATGCGTAGTTTATATGTTAGTATTTCTAAAAATCTCCCCTTCTGAGGTTGGGTTTTCAGCATGTGTGCCTTTTTATGTTATACAGTTCAGCTTTGATTCCATCATCTCATTAAACCTTATTTTAAAGCATTCTTTAGTTCTGTGAAGGGATATATGCACTGTACTTCACTTTAATTAATATTGTATGCTGAAAGGCGTATATATATTACAGCACAATTTTTTGTTG